AATAAAAATAATAATAGAAATCTTACAATATATACAGGTGTCACTTATCTATGTTTTAATCCATGTTTTTCATTCACGAATGTACTACTTAGCCCTTGACTATCACTTCACACATTGGCTAGTATAAGATTAACTTTTGTTTCTCATATCACAAACTACCAACTTATTCTCACCATACCTCTTTAGTGTTCCAAATTTACACAAATCAAAGATGAGTCGGGTGTCATTGATGGTATATCCATCTTGCAAGAGCGTAATGTATAAAACTGTACAACATATTCTGTTTCTTATATATGTTCTCATGATAAGTAGTTATCTTTCATATACTAGTTGTCATGTCTATTATATATCTTATGTTCTCCTTGCATCTTATGTGTCTTATCTATTTAAATATATGGATGCTACTCTTGACTTAACAAAATATGAAATTCTTTTGTAAATCACACCATTCAACTTTAGAACTTGATTAGATTCTTATTTTCTCATTTTTCTTAAGATATAAATTTAATATATAATATTATTCTATAAAAATTTCCTTATATTAGTAATGAAAAACACACTTTGTATCTTCCTAAAAAAATAAATATTTTTTTAAAATAAGTGATAGTTATTATTTTTAAAAAATTATTATTATTTTACATATACATTCTTTTTTTATTTTATCCTCAAATACATATTGGTGAAAAAAAATAAAATATAATTTGTCTTTAAAAATTAGACACTAAAAAGGAATATAACTCTTTATATATTGTTATAGATTCAAAATTCTTTTATTTTATGAATGGATTTATCACTCTAAAGTCTAAACCTATCCACCCCAAAAGATAAAAGGATAAATCATCTATTGTGAGCTAGCATGAAGTAGCAAACACCACATGTGTAAGGAGCCTATACTTGACAACGAAACCTAACTAAGAAGGGCTCGAATAAGATGGTTGAGTCAGCTTAGCCTTGGACAACACAACAACAAATTCTGTAGATGCTATAAAATGGAAGAATTTATGATCATGATGGCTACGTAGCATTTTAGGAGGTTGTCATTTGAGAGTTCCCCATCACGATCTCAATTTCAACAAGTTCCACGATGTTGTTCGACTTGGAAAATAAAGCTACCCAAAAACCTTTCATTTTATTGTTCGGATAAATCTAACACAATGACACGAAGGCTCAGAAAGTGTGTTGTTTTGTATGTTACATCTGTACAACAAAAATAAAGATTCGTGAGGAAGGGCCATTATTTCTTTGGAGATTTTGACCATTTGGTATCGTCTAAAATTTGTTCCATCATCTCCGAAAGCCAATAAATGGTTGGGCTATAACTTGCCTAAGAACTACGTAGGTTGATAAGACGTGAATCGTTGTCAATTGTCGATAAGGAATATTTGACTTAATTGGATGAATTTTGATTCCCTTTTCTATGCTAAAATCATTAACAATTTGAAAAGTGAAAAGTAAAACAAAAAGTTGAATATAGAAGCGGAATCATATTGGGACTAATGATGGGCTCTCATTTTGGGACTCGGATTCTCCCTCTAAGATGGCAGTTATCTATTAACATCTCACTTTTCCTCTTTTTCCTTTTCGAATATATTTCATATATTAATATTATTTAACATATATAAATTCTATATTACTAGTTTTATTCGATTCAATCATCAGAGTTTATCAAAATAAATTTTCTTTTAAGTTTGAACTTTAGAATTCTTTCAATATCTAACACCAAAACCTTTAATCAATGACATTAATAAACAAATATTTATTTTGGTATCCACATTTTTTTTATCCTTTTATCTTTTAATTAATTTGTTGAATTATCTTTTTACTCTTTAATTAAATTGTTTAACTATCCCAGTATTTTGAAATTAATCACACAATTCACTTTTATAATGATGAGGCATAGAGTGCCCAATTTCACTAATTAATAATATCCAGAAAGAGAACTCAAATATAATAACACAAATCATGTGTTTAAGGGAAAAAGTGGCATATATATCAACTAAATTTTTTTTCACATATATTATACTGAGGTTATTTAAAAGAAAAAAAATACTAAGATTATTTTTATTAGTTTTATAAATAAAATTAGCAGATCATTTGTCATTTTATTTTAATTTTTTTTGTTTTGAAAAGATATTATTATTATTATTATTATTATCAATTACTAATTTGAGAATGTAAATATAAAAAATAATTTCTTTTAATTATCCAATAACAACCATATTTAGCATATCAACTTCTGATGGAATAATTATAATAATTTATTTCACACTTTTTTGTTATTTATTTTATATTAACGGTAAAAGAGTACAAACTGGATAATAAGAATAAATTAAATTTTTGGTTCTTATATTTTATATTCTTTTGTCTAGTTCTTACATGATTTTTTAAATACATTTTGATTTCAATAAAAAAAAATTATTTACAAATCGGATTGTCATTCGTTGAGGTTATGCTTATATATATGTTATTTTTTTTCATATAGGAACAACAACAAAAATATCTTAGGTGTGAAGGCCCAAATTTAGAGTTATTTTTATATTAAAAAGAAAATGAAACATAATATGTTTTTAGCTAAAAAGAAAATCATTGTTGAATGTAGGAATTGAATATAACAGGTCAGACTAATATTTACAATTCAATTTAAAAAATAATTTTTAAAATACTCTGATTTCTATTTTAAAGTTGAGTCTAACTACTAGTTAAGATTATCCTAATTGCTAAAAAGAAGGAGTTGAAGTAGATGCATAAAGATTTAGTTTCAATCTTCATTCCCATCTTTTGTAATCTTTTTATATGCGATAAAGAAAAAAGTTCAATCTCGTGCAAACAATTATTTATATTTATTGACAATTACTCTAAATAAAAGTGAATTAGATTTTGGTACTGTTGATATTATCGTATTACACCTAAAATATGATAATATGATCGTTATCTTGATTTTGGCATGGATGATTACTTGATATAATCAAACATAGATTAACCGATGAAGAACAATTCACATGAAATATGATCCATTTAATGAATATACTGATTGGTCATTTTCTCAAGTTCCGAAGTTCAATCTGATTGAATCTAAAAGTTGTCTTTACCATGGTTAATTGTCTAGTGTAGAAGCTAATATTGATTAATAAAATAATATTGCATGATCTTATTAATTTTTTTTAATAAGATATTAGTACAAAGCCTTGATTTTAGTCTATTACAACTCTAATTTGTTTCACGTATGATTAATGAAATCGTTTGTGCTAATTTAGAAAAGAAGGAAACAATATTGCAAATAGGAATAATGAAACTTATCAAAAATGTCATTGTGTTATGGAAACCACTGCCTTGAAAGCAAAATCTGGCTAAATCCTGAATAATCCAAAATGTCGACTGCTTCCCAAGGTTAACCCAACGAGCCCATGAACACTTGCAATTGTGGTCTTAGGCTAAGGAAACCACAAAACAATTGCCCAAACAAAATGTGTATAAAGAACAAGGATAAGAGAGAAAAAAATATCATAAGAAAGAGAACACATAGCAAGGAGATTTGAGAACGAATACATTAATCATATTATTAAAACACAAACAATAAATTTAATAAAAAATTCTAATCAAAAAATGTATTCGATTCAATATTCATAAAATTGTGAAACACAATCACAATTTCACAATTTTCGTGAAATTCAAGAACAATGAACAATTGATTTAATTGATTTAGATTATTTTAAGTCTAGATCTAAATCTAAAATTAATCTTTAAATATGTTCTGGATCTAATTAAAACAAAATTCATAATTATGAAAACAAAAATTAGATCTAAAGCGGAGAAGAAAATTTGTAGGTAAAATTAAAATTAAAACTTAAATTTTACTACAATTCATGAAATATTGAATAGATTCAACAAACAGGTCATACATATCCATCAAATTGTTTCAATTTTTCTCATCTTAACACCAAGAATCACATCAGCGTTTCCTAAACCTTTCATATAAGAAAGTTAAGATAGAAACAATTTGATTTCATTTGCTACAACCATATTTGTCCAAAAAATCAACATGTCATCAACATAAAAACATATCACACATTCTTATCCAATCAATTTAGAGTATACATAAGAATCAGATGAATTCACAACATAATCATTGCTCGTTAAAGTTTGGTCATATAATGATTTTTTTTCTTCAATTTACACACTTTAATCTCTTGACCCTCAACCAGGTAGCCCTCAAGTTATTCCATATAAATTTCTTCTTTCAAGTCACTATTAAGGAAAAAAAATTTCACATCCATTTGATGTGCAATTAGTTGGTTTTACATGACAAGACAACAAAAGAATTATGGAGGGGGTGTAGATTTCGTAGAGAAACAACAATGAAGCCAAGTAATTTGCTTATGCACTTGAGTTTAGTAATTAAGCATGGTAGCTGGGGAGGTTTAGCATATAGGGAATATGAAACATCTCAATTTTTAAAAATTAAAAAAATATATTGTTTAAATAAAAAATTATATTATAAACTTAGTTAATTTAATTAATTGAATTTATAATATAAATAAATTATTTTATTAAATAATTTTTGAAACTTTGTATAAAAGGCCGATTTGTACCTTAATTCTTGGAGTTATTTTGGACTTATTTTGATGTTTATTTTTCCTTTTATGGTAAAGAGTTTTATTTATTTTTTTTGTGAACCCTTATACAATGAAGATTAATTTAGATGTTTTAATATATCTTTTTAATTAAACACATTTTATTATTAACCGTTTTAAAAAATATATTTTGGGATAAAAGAGTGTCAAAAAATATTTATAATTGTAGCTTCCTCCATAATTAATGTATATTTATTCACTTAGGAATCAATCTATATCACATTTTTGTAATACATTAATTAATTGTTCAAAATTTATTAAAAATTATAAAGTTTTGTGAAGTTTATTTTTTAAATAAAAGGTAATTTTTAATTTTATTTTATAGCTTTTTAATAAATTTGAACAGGTAAAATAAAATGAAATGGAATGTAGGAGAAAGTAAACATGTTTGAGGAAGGGTGAGGATGAAAAGAAATCCATTGAGAGCGGAATGGTGAACTAGTGAGAAACAAACAGTGAAATGAGAAATGAGAAATGAGAAATGAGAAATAGATAGGGGAGGCATACATCAGTGGCAGCGTGGTCGACAGTGTTTGGCGTGGAGAGGTAAGGCCTTGCAATGTTCAAGGGCGTTGAGGAGGTGGGGGTCTCTGAACCCAATAAGGAATTGGGCCAGGCCCTCAAGAAAGAGGGCGGCCTGGTAAACACTGGTGGCGCTCATGATGTCAAGAAGGACGTTTCTTCTGAGCCGGTTGGCGTAGAGGAAAGCGCTAACCACCTCCTCCATGTGCTCCTTAAAGTCGGCGCCCAGGGCCACCTTCGCGGCGTCCTTGCGGTGGCGGGAGCGGAACCAATCGGGTACGACGCGGTCCACGAAGGCGTCTTCGGCGCGCTTGAGGCGGTCGGAGAGGGTCGGGACGATGAGGCGGAGGCCGCAGTCGATCTGGTCCATGCGGGCGGTGAGGGAGTCGGAGGGGTTGCGCCAGGCGAGGGCGACCTGCCAGGGGCGGTGGTGGGAGGAGGAGGCGTCGGTGTCGGTGTCGGTGTCGGTGTCGGAGGGGGAGTCTTCGCGGAGGAAGGAGCGGGCGAGGTGGGTGAAGAGGAGGGGGTGGAGGTCGCCGAGCCAGAGGAGGGGCTTCTCGAGGGAGTTGCGCCACTCTTGGGAGAGGAGTTGGAAGGGGTCTGAGGTGGTGGCGGCGTCCAGGGCGTAGTAGTACGATTGGAAGTGCTGGTGGACCATCTCCACGTGGGTCGAAAGGATCGTCGGGGACTCGCCGCCTATCGACCGCCGGAGAAGGGGGAGGAGGTTGTTCTTTAGCGTGCTTACCCACTCCACGTAGTACTCCTTGAACGGACGCGACTGCTTCTGCCGGCTGAACACTCCTTTCAGCATCTTCTTTCTTTTATCTTTTATCTTTTTCCCTTCTTGGACTCTTCTTTTGCTCAACACGCCACTGCTTCAACGGTTGGACTCCCACTCAGACTGTAAAATACCTATTAGTTTTATTTATTTATTTATACATCTGCCTAACTCAACCGTAAGCCTGTAAAATAGATACATTATATTTAGATCTTACCGTATTATTACTATTGGTTTTCTCATTTATTCTACATTAAACCCTTATATTCCTCGACTCTCAAGACATGGGAAAAAAAATATTTTTATCCTTTTAACTTCCTTTACACTTTCCTTTCTTAAAAGCATTCTCATTATTAACCAAACATTTTATTTTTAGAATAAGTTTAAATATTTTTAAATTAAGTTTAAATATGTTCAAACTATCTTCAATTAGGTCAATTTTTAGATTATTACTTATTCTTTTTTTTTTATTTTAAATACTTGATTAATTTTTTTAAATTTAATGACGTTAGTCTCCTTCCGTTAAGTAATGACGTGGCTGACGGACTGTCACATCATTACTCAATAATTCCCACCACGTTTAGGGTTTGGGTTGTCACCCAACAATGTTAACCGCTCCATCAAGTTCACCACTTTCCTCTCCAAGCTCATCGCGCTCTACGACACGTTAGCACAGGACCTCACCTTCAAGTACCAACTCCCTGGCAAGGACCTCGACACGCTCATCTTCATCACCAACAACGACAACCTCGAACACATGATGCACGAGTACGACTGCCGCTACCGCCTTAACTTTAAAACCATCAGAATGAGACTTTTCCTCTTCGCACTTTCCACAAATTCTAAGTCTTCTTTCTCCTTCGATTGCGACCTTGTCAAAACCTCTCCCCTTCCTCCTTCCAACATTGATTACCTCTTTGGCCTCGACAAGGTCGTTGCTCCTCCTCCCATCGCGCATTCCTTCGTCGACGTCAAGTTCCATGATCCTATTTCGAAGCCCGTCGCGCCGTCGTTGGAGTATCACCCCCGCGCTCCCGCTCTACCTTCGCCTCTCATTTCCGATCCCAACGTCAATACACTCAAAATTCACCAACAAGTAGAGCATTAGGCTACGTGGCTGTTAGGTGACAACCTTTAGATGACGTGGTAGACACTGTTGGATGATGACATGACAGTCCGTCAGCCACGTCATCACTTAACAGAAAGAGACTAACGTCAGGTACTAAATTAAAAAAAAAATTAATCAGGTATTTAAAATAAAAATAAAAATTTAATAAGTAATAATTTGAAAACCAACCTAAATAAAAGGAATTTAAACCAACCTAAGAATTTTAATACAAATTTTAATTTCCTTTTAATATCACATCTTTAAAAAAAATTATTTAACCATAGTAATGTGTCTGACAGTTTTTAAATATGTAACATTTGCAACTTCTTTGACATGTCCATCCAAATCCAAATTTGTAAATGGGTCATCAAGAAAATGCAGATACTACAACTCCAACTCTAAATGCGATTAAACGTCATTCAAGTTAACATAATGTGGGTGTTATTTCTTATCTAACTTCTACATACATCATAGTTCACATATAAATTGAGTTGATTTCTTATTTGACTTCTACATGGATAACAATGCAAAACTAGTACAAGTTAATGCATGTTCGAATTTGTTCATTTTATATTTTTTTTAAATACAAACGAAATTAATGTGAAACCTGTTCAGGTTGAATGATCAAAAGTCCGAAAAAATTCAAATAATTAGAAAATTTATAGGATATCAAGGTTTGAAGAATGCACTTAAAAGAAAAAACATAATATGGAAAAAGGAATATGTGCAGGTCCAGGGAATTTATCGCTCTGGATCTTTAGTGTTGCCCCATAACATGAACTTAAATCACCGCTAGTTTGATAGCGGGAGAGAATTTCATATTTAAAAGAATTAATTATTTGCAATTCTAGAAGTGGAGCTCATACAAACAGGGTAACAATATTTACAAGAAATGCACCTAATATGGTCGGTCATTAACTGATGAAAGAAAAAGACAATGAGCTCCAACGGTGACCAAAAAAAAAAAAAACAATTTTACAACAGTTTGCTATTTACTCTGTCCTACTATACCTCAAGATTTGATGGAGATTTTCACGACAGAATTAATGCTGCAAGTTCAAGAAAGCCCGTAGGATTTTTTCTGCGATCAACGCTCTTACAGAGAAGCCTACTTTAATAGCATGTTTATTTCTTTTCCTGCCGTCTCTGAATCACAAGCTTAGCTCACTCTAATCAGTTCTTCGACTCGCATCTTTCGGGCAAGCCAAGTCAATTAAATAAATTTACATTTTTTATAAATGCAAAGGATAATTATGTGAAAATTCAATTGCAAAGTGTCTGTCCATGAGTAACCCAGTGTACAAAAGTATCAGGAAATTCCTCTAGAACTTTGGACCCGGCATCACGGTAGGATAACTCTGACACAGTTCCCTCTCTTCCCTGAGAATAATACACGGAATTAGATCTGAAATAAAGACCAAGGCTTTTAGTAGTCACTCACTTTCAACTATTGCAGGACAAATTAGGGACATGGAACTCGTACTGATTTTAAATCATAAATATTGTTCACCAAATACATTTCTACTATCAGATCACAGCATGTACAATACCACTCGTACTGATCCTAAATCAGTAATATTGTTCACCAAATACATTTCTACTATCAAATCACAGCATGTACAACACCACTTACTATCCAATAAGTCAATAACTGCTATTCCTTTTATTTTCAATAAGTATTTCAAACTCGAACTACAAATTATAGACAAAATCATAAAGGGAATGTAAAGCAGTTTTGATAATTGTAGGATGCAAGCTATAAGCTATTACATCAAAGGTCCATAACTCTATCGGTAAAGTAAGTTGTGAATGTGATATTATGTTGTGCTCGAAAGCACAAAACCCTGATATGAGCATGGACACGGACAAGACTAGGAGAAACACCAATATATATATATATATATATATAAGAACTCAGACATAGCACACATTGGTATATCTTGATATAGGTCATGTTCTTGACTTGTCATTTAGCAAGTCCCTCCCAAAAAACATGAAACCACAACTCTATTGACATTTAAAAAAGTAAAAATAAAATTCCTAAACTTGTCATAATAAAACTAAACATATACAAGCACAACAAAAACAATTTAATTTACTTCAAATTTTAAATGACTGTGTCGGAGCCATATCCCATCCCAAGTCTTAACTGGAAAAAAAAAAAAAAAAAAGGACCCACGTCATTTATGCATCATATTCTGCTAGACACGCACACAGCACCAAAGTGGTGTATCCGTGCTCTAATAAATACCATGTCAGAAGGGCTAGTACCTTGATGCTTGAGTCCAAATCACTTGTGGAGGGAGTATCTCCTCCCATAATAACTCCATTAATAACATTTTCTGAAGAAAGCCCAGCAATCGAAGAGTTGGTAATTGATAACCTGCATTAAGTATAAATAGGCCTTACAAAAAATATTTATTCGGAGATATTCTAGAATGTATTACAATGATGATAACACTGAAGTAGATCCACTATGGAGACTGTAAGATGTGTTATGAACGACATACACCCCAGTCCACAGACACGATATTCACAGCAAAAATTTGTAATGCTTAAATATATTTCTTATTTACTCTTCCTATCATGTCTTGTTGCTTCCATAACTCCCTATAAAATATTCTTGCAAGTTGCAATGTATAAGTGCTTCACAAAAATGCAATGCAGAATTACCTCTCGAATGGATCTTCTTCAAATGAATTTCCGGAAGAAGACAGCCAATCCAGGTCAACAAAGTTGGAACAGCTGAATGAATCCCCATGTGCAGAAAAGGAATTATGGTCACTATCTAGGAAGCGCTCTCTTTGTGCGTCTCCCAAAAGTTGTCTCTGAGGTATTGAGGGAGTGTACCTACAAAAAGAAATTCTTTTTCAAGCAAGATAGACACAATGAAGCGGAAAATAACTGAATATGTCATCAGGCAAGAAATAGGCATAAGGTATTTGGTTTATTTTCTAATTTCATTTTCATTTCATGTATTTTTGTGAATAAATTAGTAATTTGGATTTTATGGTTCTGAATAAATTAGGAAGAAAAAAAAAATCATATGATTAAGAAAAGGATTGGTCAACCCAGAGTCATAAGATTTACCTTCCTATTTTTTCTATTTTATGGGATTCAAATTCCCCATGATAAAGGGATCTGTCTCCCTATGCTTTTCTTATTTAAGTTGTAATACTCATCTGTTACCATTTGAATCAACAAGGAAATTATTTCTACAGTTTTCATTATAATTACAATAGTCACCATTTATTCTACATGATGTTATCAAAGCTTTGTAAATGAAATGGTAAAAAAAACATATCCTTCACACCATTTCCTTCAGAAGTTTTGAAATCATAATACTGAATAAAAACAAGTAGGAATGCTTGTGATTGTGATGACATCAGTGTTATCAAATAACCGTTATGGCGGCGCCATAACGGGGCCATAACGGCGTGGCGGCGGCGGCCGCAATCCCTTCATCATCTTTAAGACAACACACTGTATATTTAAATATACCACCGATACATGAAATTGGATATCAAAAGTGAACATTTGTGACCACTTTACCAAAAGGAACATTAAGGTTATTCTCAATGTTGTGCTTTAGTTCATCATAGGTTATCGTGTTGCTTACCTGAATGGTTTTTACCTCATTGCTAAGAAATGTTGCCCTATATTGAGTGGAGATGATTTTTCCATCATAATAAATAGTACCTTGAATAGTGTAAGACTCCATTGATAAGATGTTTCCATCTAACGCATTATAGACTTTGGTTACAAAATATTATATAGTATTAAAGGAAGATGCTTTCCAACTAACGACACCCTGACAATAAGGTAAAGTTAATTATGCATTGACGTGGTGTCATTGATTCTTGATATGGTTTCATTGATTCCTAACGCACTGACGTAGTGTCATTGATTCCTGATGACTAACGTGGTGTCATTGATTCCTGATGCACTAACACAGTGTCATTGATTCCTAACATACTAACATAGTGTCATTGATGCCTGACGTAAAGTAATTGATTTTTGACACACTAATGCGATGTCATTGATTCCTGACATAGAGCAATTGATTCCTCATGTAGTGTCATTGATTCTTAACATAAAACAATTGATTCCTGATGTACTGACGTGATGTCAATGACACTCTGACGCACTGACATAGTGTCATTGATTCTTGACATGTTAACACAATGATATTTTTGTGCAATTTTTAACTCTATATATACACTTCTTTCATCCATTGATTGTATACACACACAAAAAAACTCTTCTCTTCATCTATTGCATTCCTCAATACCACTGCTTTCATTCTTCAAAAATGTCAGTCTCATCTACAACTATGCTATGGAAATAACACCTCCATAGATCGAATGAAGCTCTTGATATGGTAAGATACAAAGAGACTTGCTAATGTTTAGAACTAATATTACTCATTACTAACTTTTTAGTTCAATCGTGAATGCAAACAACAAGTGATCTAAATATTCAATTGTATTATCATTCCATGCCTTCACCTGACCCTATAATTGAAAATTTGTTAGAGGCTGCTGGTTTTAGTGAGGTTGCAAAATTACATACCCGCTTGAATTAAGGTATGGATTAAAATATATTGCACCTTAATACATGAAACAACTACATTCTAGCTAAGGTTTAATCCATGTTCAATATTTTTTAGATGGACAGGAAGATGATTAAGATTTACAGGCACACCCCATGGACACTTACTTGGTTATAGATTAAGATTTGATAACATGAATAATAATGAGGTAATACAATGACAACCTCTCTTATACATATTTTCTTTTCAAATAATTTGTGGCCTAAACATTTTTCTATTTTCAGTTTCATTGGATGCCATATAGGGGCTTTAAGACAATATTACCAAAATGTGCTTACAAGGATTCAAGAATTTGGACTTCTTACACTGTCTTAACTTCATTTGCAATTGTAATCTAGTATCAAACTAACAGAGTCTAGATGCAATTTGGCTTGTGACAACCAATTCCAAGTTCAACAGTTAATCTTGACAAACTTCATGAAATACACATGAGGGGACATAGCGATATCAATTGGGCTGAAGAACATGCAGAATGAATTTCCATATGGAAAGAAAGACAAAAACCTGTCCTTTATGGACAACCAATTCAAGGGCCTCTCCAACACAACGTTGAATATTTGGAATGATTTCATGCAAATTCCAAATTATTTTTAACTAGGCAATATTCCACATTTGTTCGTGAATGTAGACACCCAATTTCGTCCAGACCAACAAAAGCAATGAAATGAATGTCTATCATCAAAGAAATGGAGCTCCCAAGCATGGAAATAACAGGACATGACATTAGAACGCCTAAAAGCCCAACAAGCTGGTTTTAGTAGCCAAGAACGGCCTGTTGCAAAATCGGAACGAGAGGTTCCCAATTTGGAACGGGCCGTTCCAAGTTCCTAAAAAGGCCTAAAACCCTAGTTTGGAACGAGCCATTCCTAAACTGGAACGGACAGTTCCAAGCTCCCAAAAAAGGGCTAAAATCTAATTGGAACGGGTCGTTCCCAAAATCGGAACGAGCCATTCCTAAACTGGAACGGGCCATTCCAAGTTATTAGAAAGGCTTAAAAACCCTTGTTTGGAACGACCGTTCCAGCCTAGTCAATTATGAGTTAATCTCATCTCTGGAACAGGCCGTTCTAGTTACAGAACGGGTCGTTTCAGTTACAAAATTAACACAGAACGGTCGGATCTAGAACGGGCCGTTCCGATTTTGGAACTGCCCGTTTTGACAACTTTTTGATGTCTATAAATAGATGACTCGGGCACAGTTCTCAGGGCCACAAAATTTCGTCCAAGGCTCCTTAGAGCTCAAAATTTCTCTCTCTCTTCCTCCTATTATATTTCTTGAGTTTTGTGAGGCATATTGTAGTGTGAAAGGTTGCCACAAAGCACCTAAAAATCTCCATATTTGAAGATTCAATAGAGCTCGTTCAAGAGGTATTTCAGTCAATCTTCTTCTCTTCTTTTTATTTCTTATCTTTGTTATAATAAAAATAATCATGTAGACATTTTAGGATCAATCGTGTAATTTAAATTTATAGCATGTAAATAAATATTAATAAAGGGGATCTAATATTTAATTTATTAATTCTTATCACATTAACTTCATTATAGGGTACCTATTAAGGGCGCTGTAGGGGTGCTTAATACCTTTCCTACACGTAACCGACCCCCGTACCTAATTCTGTTTATCAAGGCCATTATTGGATCTTTAAAAAACCTTTTCTTTTTCCAATGTTTTGAGTAAAACATTGGTGGCAACTCCAAGAACCTATTTCTTTCAAAACCATTAATTAAGGATTAGTCTCGTGTCCGGGCATTCCTTAATTGATGAGATTTTTAAAAGGATGTCTAAACCATAGGTCGTAAGATTAGAAATTTTCGGGTTGCGATAGATGGCGACTCCACTGGAGATGGTATAAGAGGGTCAGGCCCAAATAAATGATGAAGTTAATAAAATAAGAATAATAATCTAAATATTTTTCCCCTTTACCTTGTTTATTTTCTTTGTTTGGCTTTAATATCTGTTTGTTTGTTTAAATTTTGCACATGTTTGAATTAACACCCGTACCAAACCATAGCACACAACAGTCCCCCTACACCCGGGAGCATGAGGGTATTAAATATAGGGAGTGGTTGACGTACGACCCGACCAAGTTTGGCCTTGGAGCCTGCGAGCCTTGTCAGAAATCACACTCAAGGTGATAACCGATTACTTTAGCCTGAAATACTGCGACAAACCTTAGAGTTTGCCAGACGACGGCGACAGAGATACTGGGTCCCTATAATACAAAGTAACCCACGAACAGTCACGTCCAAATCTTTGGTCTGTGGTCCCTGTTAAGAAAAGTGCATTGTATAGGATAGTTCTAATCTCACTAGTCTTAAGGCCCCCAAGGTGGACATCAGAAACAGAAACCAAAAATCACCCTCTAAGTTGGCAACTAGTACAGTATGCGGTTGTTGACACAATTTAGCTTACATTATGCACCACTAGGTAGGAAAAGAGGTACTCTGAGCCTCTATTTTTTACAAAGTAAAAATATAAAAGAAATAAGAAGATCGATAATGGTGTGGGTGGTTAATTAAAGATTGTAATATTTATGGGGGAAGTAGGAAAGAAAGAGAGAAAAAACTAAATGAAAAAATGGTGGAGAGAGAGAGAGAGTGGTTTGAAAGGTAGTTATAGAGATAAAATTGTCCCAAAAAAAATTATCTCTTTCATATATAGTATAAATAGTCCGATCCTTTCAACATAAATGCCAAAGAGGGAAAAAGTGGAGACTTTCTCAAATAGAAGAACAAATCTACCATATTTTAGTCATTTCAGTTCTCATGCAAAAAGACCTGCTATGAGAAGACAAAAACATTCAGATATTCAAATCTGGGACATCTTATGGAAGCCCCATTTGGTGTATGTACTGTGTCAAGTTTCTCTTTCTGTATACCGTAACATATTTACATTCACATTAGTTAATTCAGATACAAACCTTGAATATGACATTTCACTCTCGGAAGTGGATACAGGCGATGAGTCACAAAAGGCCTTGCTTCCTTCCTCTGATTGGTCCTGCAAACCTAGCTTTGAGAAATTTTCAAGGTTTGGATTTGGGGCTGACATAGGTGTAGAATTGTCATGAATGATACTTCCATCTGAGAAACATCTTTTCACAAATGACCTAAAAAAACATTTTAATTTTGGGGTAAATGAGCACAATAAAGATAAGTTTAGTCATACACTAAGTTTCTAATAATAATAATAAATATTCCTGTTTCTCCTATCAAATTAAAAGAGGTGATAATATATTTAATTCAAGCACTCTTTTCTTAAAACATAGTGGCAAGCAGTTCAGAATGTAAGTTGCCAAAAACACTAGCATGTCAAGCACACTCATCATAATCCATACTAGAGTGATGGACCAAAAATGTTCCAGTCAAGTGAAGAAAACTACACATTTCTTCAGAATCAGTTACCATGTTTTCCCTGTATAGATAATCATGAAAGATGTAAGCATGAACACTGAGAAAGAAGCCAAGTTCAACGCATATCAAAAGAAAATTGACACTTGACACTCATGCTGACAGCTAATTATCCCACACCTCTAAATAGTAAGTACTCTTTCTCTCTTAGGAACAACTGTATGAATAGTTACACCAGCATCCCCTTAGGCAGTAAGGCTAGGGGTCAGAATCTACACCTACTTCCTTAGTTATTTAGAAGGGGAAATGTCGTAGGAACTGCACCTAAAGTAGAGGGATGTATGTGTGTAGGAGTAATTTCTCAAACAAAGCAAAATGTCTAGAGTAAGAACAGTGCATCATAAAGGGGTGTAAATGTAACTTTTCAAATAGGGGTGTGTGTGTAAGTTGTGCTAACATCAAGGGAGATCTCAATGTAATTGCCCCAACATTATAAACATATTTGATAACTGATACTAGTTACATAATACACGATTTCTAAAATGTGTCTAAATATATATATTAGGTATATCTTGTCCATATTACCACACATGATTAGTTATACATTATGTGCTGATATTCTCATATTTCTGTAATTTCCAGAATATATATATATGCTGTGTCATGTCATCATGAAGCAGCACAAATGGGGTCAATTATAATTAAATATTGGTGTTGATTGGGTTGTTATTTGGGCCACATTAAACAGAAACTTGTCATACTATGGAGTCTTATCTAATATTTTTTTTGGTTTAATTGCAATTTTAGCCCATCCTCTAATTAGAACTACATACAACCCCCCCACCCTCTCCCACCCGGTCAAGTTTTTAACAAGCTAATTAAGGACCAAAAATACAATTATGTATATTTTTTAGGCTTTTAATTTTTTGTTTCATGTTAGTTTCGATGGATAGAAAATATTGGTTTTAAATTAATGTTTTTGTCCTATATAATAATATAAAGGAGCTTTGATGTGATGTAGGATAATTGGGAATGCAGCATTAAAATATTGGGTTTGAGACATTTCATATTTTAGGGCCTGTTTACTTCTATTTTCATTTTTATTTTTTTGTTTTTAATTTTTATTTACAAAATTGTCACCTTATTTTCATAATTTCCTGTAGAAATCTTATAGAACACAGGAAACAGATTGAAAAATCAAAATGACAATTTTGTAAATAAAAAATAACAAAAAATGAAAACAGAAGTTAATGAACCCTTCATTTTATTGTCCATTTTTTTTTATATATATGCTTAATGAAAATACTGAAGAGGTAGATGGCCTGGAAGTTGCAGATGGACAAACTACAAAAATCCCAGGTCTTCAATCAAAGACCAATTTATACAGGAATACAAAAAATAAAAATAAAAGGTGTTTCATTCCCCATAAATTAAATTCAAATACCTTGCATCATCATCTCCATGTCTCCCTATACCATAATGCTGATCTGAGCCCAAATCCCATAGAGCAGGCTTACCCAGTTGTGGCTGAAAATGCCCCAGGAATCTGTGCCAAGAAAATAGGAAAACTATTTTACGATTGGAAGAGAATAATTAGTTAATAACACCAAATAGACAACCTTTTGCAATCAGGAAATATATAATAAAAGTAAAATATTGAAATTTTAACTAGTATAGATCATTTAAATTGGAAATAGAATAATGTCGTGTTCAAGTGAAAAATAAGAGGATTTTGGCAGATCCAAAAACAGGTTAAGATTTGTGTAAGATAAAATAAGTTAGTAAATTTTTATATTGATAAAATTCATTTTGCTTAAAATTTGGTTAAGTAGTTTAACATTTAATGTGAATTACTATTTGTAACTAACCTTTAAGTACTTAAATCATACAAATTTTAGAACCACATAATGCTCAATATTTAATTTTACACAGATATTGGGCAGCATTATTGCGCTATTTTTCTATCTTTTTGTTTTTTGTTGAGCTAATGTCATTTGCTTTATCTGTTAGGAGGATGCCTTCCTTACAGATGTTCTTTCCATGCTTATTTTCTGATGAATTCTCTTTAGAAATCAATATTAAAATTAATGCTATTGCACCTAATTAAAATCCTGAAAACATTTCCCAGTGTAGAGTTTATATGGCACCCGATCATAAAATGTAGAATAAATGCAATGCCAGCGCAATTATTTGCGCAACTCACTTCAGACAAAGTAAATTCATTTATCAGGGATATATTATACAACCCTTACAAAGACTTCTCGACTCTGTCATATTTCTTTTCTACATCATTTCCCAGTTATGAGATTTTAAAGTTATTAAGGTTCACTATTTCTTTGATCAGTTTTTGAAGTTTTGATAGGAGCAAAGAAGGTAGGTTATATGGAAGTACACAATGTATGCTGTCTTTGGAGTTCAGCACACAGCGTTAACAGAGTTGATCAAAAGAGGAGCTCTTATCCTACAGTACAATCCATTATTTCCTCAAATAAAATTTCTTCCAATGTCCCAATAAAAGGCCCTTCAGAGGGACAGACATGCTATAAATCCAATCACAAGAAATAATATTACTTGTAGGCAATAAACAATTAAGAAATATATGACTGTGGCACATACAAGTTAATTGCATTTTGCTTCTCAGCATCCATATAAGCATTGCTGTAATAGCGTTGAAGAGTCCTAAAAAACTCCTGGGATTGTGTTGCAGCTTTCCATTGTCCCCTCCTCTCGGAGAATATCTACATGGAAAATAGCAACAGAAGTTAAAGATTATCTGTAAAGGTTATAAATAAAAATATTATTATACCAATACCAATGTACAATTAAATTAACATTTTTCAACATGAAAACCTTCTGACAGCAACTTTACCCATTTAACAACGAAGACAAATATAGCATCCAAGAATGAAATAAAATTGTGATTAGGCTCATTTGAAGTGCAGGGTCCAGTTTAGAAAGCATAGTGGAGAGTAATAATAGTTGACTGAAAAAATCAAGGTTTAATACATCATTTGGTCTCCAAACCTTTTAGGAATTTTTAATTAGGTCCTTAAACTAAAAAATCATATTTGGATCCTTCATCTTTTTATATTTTTATAATTTAGTCTTGAGGATTAGAGATTCATTTATAATCCATGAAATTCGACTAAATATTCTTTATATCACCTAGACAGTTATGTTAAATTACTATTTCATGCAGCATTCATGTGTATCATATTTTAATCCCTACCTGTTAAAATTTCCTACTATTCTAAAATTCTTATGATTAGGGAGATTACAAGAATTTTTACGGGTAGGAAGTAAAACCTAATACATATGGATGATGACATAGAATAGTAATCTAATGTGGTTGTCCCGATATAAAGATATAAATTATTTTGTCAAATTTCACATATTGTAAATGGATCTCTAAACCCAAGGACTAAATTACAAAAATATAATAAGATGAAAGACCCAATTAAAAAAAAAAAAATAGTTACGGACCTAAAATTCCCCAAAAAAAATCAAGGACCACATAACATATTAAACCAAAAATTAATGGTTAAGGTTGTCATAAAATACATGTTCAACAAATTACAAATCTCAACCATTGATTTCCAATCAACAACTACAACTCTGCACTATACCCTCTAAGATGCACTTTGCACTCTAGAGGAGCCAAACCCAATATTTGGATGATTGACCAGTTTATAATGGAGTAACCCATTTTGATGAAAGAAAATTTAACTCTAATAGTGGTAATGAGGTTTATACGCACCCAAGCACTTGGGAAACCCTCCCTTAGAAACTAGCTGTCAAGGGGTTGAACCAAACCACTTAAGTACTCAATTGAGTAATGACAGAAGTGGCTAGGAAGCAAAATTTTGATGATAACATTGCCTCACTCGAGTGCAAAGATGTATTGTAATGTTTTTATGCATGCTTGGTGTCTGTTTTATTGTGCATGGTGATAATCTCCTTGGTTGAACTTTAAAAAATATCTCTTGAAATCAAAACTCTTTCAAATCAGTTTTGAAATTCTTTTAATAATGATTTTTTTACCGATTTAATCAATTATCTTAAGTTGTCATCAATTATTGTTAGTAGTTCAATTTTGAGAGAGAAAAAATAGAACTCATGCAAATAATTGATTATGTGAGCATATAATCAATTATTTCACATGGTTCATTTGAATGTGCACAAATAATCAATTATATGTTCTTGGCAAGAAACCCAAAAACTTGAAGAATAGATAATCAATTATGTATGAACACATAATTGATTATTCTTATGAAATAATATATTATACATTGAAATAATTGATTATGTTTGCCTATTTTTAAATAGTTAAAACTGAACACGTTTTGAAGAGTCTTCCTTTGATGAAAGTTCACAGCACAAAAATGGCGAGATCAGAGAGAAAATGGTGTTCAACAAAAGATCTTCTCTGGTTTTCATGGATCAATCATCAAAGACTCAAAAGAAAATCAAGATTCGAACAACAAGATCAGATCACCATTGTTCTATACAGGGTTTCGATTTTCATTTGTTTGTTAGTCACATACAGGTGATATCTTACCTTAATCATTCGTAGCAAAGATTCTGTGTGTATGCAAGATTGGTATATCTTATTCTAAGAATTGTATAAGGGTTTTACAATTGGGTAGCAAGTGTTATTGGTGGGTATCAAGAATCTTGTATTTGTTTGATTGTGTGTGGTGATAATGGAACTCTCAATCATTGATTAGGAGCTAGATATAGTGGTGTAACCGAACTAGTATAAATCTTAATTGTCATTCTCCTCTTCCTTATTACTATTTTAATTTTGCATTTTAGTTTATATAATTTCGTATTCGATAAGTCCCTATATCATAGCACCCCCCTCCCCAAAAGTCAATATCAAGGCAATTGCAATTAGGTATAACAAAAAACCCGTACCCATGAATAGTCATGGGTAAAACCCGCTATGAATTGAAAATGGATAGTTAAACACATACTCGCTTATTAATAGGGTGAGGCAGATAGTAAGGCACTCATACCCAAGGGTGTCCACACTTTTAATTATTACTAAAAGTACTTTTAATTATATATGAAGTAAATTGGTCAAAGTTATTTTTAGTATAAATATATATTTCAAAATTATATTTGTTAAGTACAAATATATGTTATATCTGTTTTTTAATATAAATATGTTTAAAAATTATTTACTTTTATTTTATTTATTAGCTTTTTGTTAAAAATTTATATTTTAACAAATAGTCATGGATACATGTGGATACCCACATATATATACTCACAAAATGGGTACCCATATTAAATGGGGTGAGTGACAGTGGGGGCTACCACCCACACCCATTTCACCTCATTGTCATCCCTAGTTACACTTTGCAATGCGTCACTCAACCTTTCTAGTCAGTCTCCCCATAAGTATCCCTTTCCTAGACATTGACAACCAGCTCCATTACTAATTGATAAGCACCCAAACACTTGGGAAAGCTTCCTTTAATAGCCAGTTGTCAAGGGAGGAGAACCAAGCCACTTGAGTACTACATCAAGCATCACATACTACTTGAATGGGACTTAGACACACCATTAATACCCAAATCCTATCAGAGGTTTCTAACATTTCATAGATTATCGAGGTCATTAGTGGGAGTCACACTTCCAAGTTTCTTTATGTATTTAGCAAGTGATGCATGAATGTAATACAAGACATAAGTCAATTCTCATGTCACAATATAAATGAGAAAAGCTAACAACCACTATTATATACCATTCAACTCAGATAATATAATAACACATTTACATAGATATGAACTGCTGTAAACCACAAAATAATTTTCACTGGCTGATTGATAGAGATGACTCCTTTTTAATATTTATTTCTTTTTTTTTTCTTCTATAAAATTTCTTTATCTTAAAAAATAAGATTAACAATGACCTTGTCCATTATAAAGTTTAAACCCAATTACAATGTTTATAAAAGCTTAATTTGAAAGACTTCAAAGGTAATCAAGAGAGAAAATGTTAAAGAAAAAATGTCTGTTCGCTAGCTAAATTCTAACTGCTAACTGAAGCAATAGCAAATATCATCAAAAGTAATCACCTTGTTGTGTGCAGCAGAACCACCATACTGGTGTGCAAGTGTGTCACCCATCCGCTCATAAAATCCCATCAAATCATCACTAAGAGGATCATCGAGGTCAATTTTCAGGTGTTCAATAATCCCCAGAGCATGAAGCTGGTGGCCGAGAGCAGCCAATCCATATGCATATTGTGCAACATTTGTGCGATCTAAGCAGTCTATACAATTGGTTCTGAGAACCCCCCTCTGGAACATGGGCGGCTTGACAAAATGGTCTCCATTAGCAAGGTTGTTTTCTCCACTAGGTTTCCTCTCTAAATTATTAGCATCTTCATTCTCAGGATCAACATGTCTTGTGGGTTGAAAGCTTCCCTTATCAATATTGCCGTAAGCAAAACTTAACATCAGCATAAACAAGAAATGTCAGCGGATGAACTTTAGGTATTCCACCTTTCCATCAAGCATTAATACCTTATTTGGAGTAAAATTTTACATTGTATTAATATTTTTTCTCAAGATTGTCTTGATACTTTTCTCTAGTCATACCACGATTGACAAGTATACACAATATGTCAAAGAAACCGTGAAAGGCATTGAAGGAAAATGAACAACTTACTTAATAGATGGCCATTTTATAGAGTCTTCAGATCTAGGAGATGGCGACACTTGGCAATATAAAAAACCTGTTAATGTCAAAGCATATGCAGCAACCTTTCCCAGAAGTAGCAGAACATTTGTAGCTTTGCTGGAGATAGAAAAGGTAAATAGAACATAAATTTAAGTCAGATTATTCAGAGAAAACTTATAATTTATTATTAAGAAAGACAATTATGTAATAAAAGACACTAACCTCTGAAAATGTTTTAGATCCCAATGAAGAAACCTCAGCCTGCTCTCCTCTGATGAATCTTTGTTAATGAAATCAATAGCATTACCAAACTCAGAACGAAGTATGGACTCTCGAGGCTTCCTCTCATATGACTGTTGGTTAAAAAGTAGCAATATCAATCACTTAAGAGGTCTTACCAACTTAAAAAAGACAGAAAGAAATCAACATCCTTTATAATATGTCGGCAAAAATACAAGAAAATTGCTTATTGAGGAAATTATATACATTTGAAATAGGGAAAAATAAAACCATTTCCTTCAGAAGAAGAAAAACAGAAATACCTTTATCAAATTCAAGATTATTATTGGATTCCCATATCTTTTGGCAAGATTTTCAAAGTGAAGTCTAGTGGCTTGATAGTTCTGATCTTTCTTTGACACTGGGGAAGAAAAAGTGATTACATAAGCAAACATAGTGGTTCATGCATTAAGTAGAGAAGATAAGAGAAACATAACTCTGCAAGGGTTACAGTGGTCGGGAAATGGGAAAACATACATATAATATCGGGCTTAAGATTTAGACGTGAAGTTTCCTGTGACCAGAAAAGAGGGATTGAACCCCGATTCTGGACAACAGAGCATATTTGGACTGGAAGACCTTCGGGAACATCCTCAAATACAATTTGTTCTGTCTCGACATCATTAGCTACTCTACCCTTCTCATTTACACCTCGTCTCAGATACCTGCATAACAATAACCATAGAAATGAAGTTGTGAATTGCACATATCATTTCTGTAAATATATAAACCTGAGTAGTGTTTGGTGAAATGAAAAACTCCACACTAAAGTAAAGCTGGTATATTAAGTAAATTGATAAACTTATGATTTATGACTAGAGTTTAGGAAGGTTTATTCTAGAAGGCAGAAAGGGGTCCACATGAGATAGGGAATTAGTTATTGAGCTGGCATTCTGTTACTGCAGATGTAGGAGAGGGAATCTATGAAGGTCAGGCATTAGTAGGTCAGTAGGGGGGATGATAGGGGTCATGTATTGAGTAGGTTACCAGAGTATCCGGCTCTAGTTATCATTTCCACTTTCTTTAAGAGCTCTAGTAGCTCCTCTCTGCATTCAATAATACTATATGCCCAGCGTTCATTTGAGGGTTTCTATTAAAATGCCACAAAAAATTCAAGCCAAGGATTTCATGGATCATTTCTATATAATTATATATTATTATACTAAAACTTCAATACTTCATAGGCATAGCAACAAGTCAAAACAACTAGAAAACACAAAAAAGACTAGGGCATAACACAAAATCAATACAAAATGGATATAATCATCATCAAAGCTATTTAATAGACTTTAAGGTTTGTACAGAGACATTCAAATTATATATTCAGACAGATACACGTGGATAACCAACCAAAGCATATGCACAACATAATCACATTGGCAAGTGACATACATCAAAATGATTTTTAAAAAAAAATGCATTTAATTTGTTTGGGAAGAAAATACAACGAAATTTACCCACCTAGTGCCAGCAAAATGGCGAGACCGTCTTGCAATGAGTGTAAGTATAAACTCCCGCCCAGATATTGAAAGTGTTTCCTAATGAAGCCACCAATAGACATTAGAAATTCAAGTGAGAGATGACACATACTTGAGCAGAATACAAAATGATACTCCCTCATATCCTTGTTATATAAGGCACAATTTAGAAGCAAATGGTAGTCCTTTTTATAAAGCATTTTATAATTTCTATAAAGCATTAATTTTATTTTTCATTTTTTGCCCCCAGTAAAGATTCAGTATATGTGCTTCTTCTTGTTGAATAATAAGAGAATTTGATAAATAAATGTTCTCTCACCTCTTGAACTTTTTAATCATCATTTATTAATCTTATTAGTATTAGTGCGTAAACTTTAGTATAGAGTAATATCTTCACTTCTCCCTTGACAATTTAATGATAAATAAAAAGGGTAAAATTGCTACATTATATTTCTTTTAAAATCAACTGAAATAACTACTTATATTAGTTTGTTTGATTTTATTATAAATGTCTTAATATAAGGACCAGAGGGAGTAGTACATAGGCCAAATACTTATTAAGATTCCCCAATCATTGTATACAATATCTAGTTCAAAAATAAAAATATCAAAAGCATGTATCGAGCCTCATAAATAGCTAGCCCAATCAACTTAGCCATGGGCCATGGGTTTGGAAGACATACAATAGGAGGAATGAAAAATAATAGTAGAAGGGGTAAAAGGGGAATTTATGCAATGAGGGACGGGGAATTGGTTACACTCTTGTGTATTTCCCATTTAGGGAGAAAGGAAGGGGAATTAGCAATTTTTGTGTGTATTCTGTTGGTAGAGGCTCAAGAGTTGTGCTTTGTGGGTATTACAGATTTTATCTCTGTAATATAGTTCGTCTTCAATAATACAGTATCTTTCAATTTTATTTCCTTAGTCTCTGACAATTGGTCCGACTTGCCAGATCCTTTGCTCAAGTCAACAATGAAAGAGTTTATGCCCAAAGGATATGGAAGAACCTCAACAACGATGGAAGGTTGTGTAAGCTCATTAGAGGTTATGATGCAGAATTTGGCGGAGACCCAAGCGAAATCCCAATCGAAATTGTAAAGTCTAATGAATAAGATGATGGAGGAGATGAGGCAAATGGACGTTCGTTTGTCACGAGGCTCGGGTGAGAATGTTGAATATGGGGTCGTCGAGCTCAAGTGAAAATGAGTTGCACAATCAGAAATCCCTGGAATTACAAATTCTATCCAAATTTTGCTCTATGAAAATGGAACTTCCGAGTTTTGACGACATCGACCCCAGTGCATGGGTATCAAGAGTACAGACGTATTTTGAAATTCAGGAAACTCAACCTAAGTTGAAGATGTGTTTGGCTAAGATTTGTATGGAGGAACCCATTGTGCATTGGTTCAATCTTCGGTTAGAAAGTGAATCTAGACCATCTTGGGAGGGTCTTAAAGTAGCATTATTGTAGAGGTTCAGAGGAGCGTTCGTTGAGAATCCTTTTGAGTCTTGTAGAGATACAAGATGGAACTATGGCCTCTTATATTGAGGAATTTGAGTACTTAGCCTCTCAAGTCCCTAAGATGTCGAAGTAGCAATTTATGGCCTATTTCATGCATGGTCTTTGGGAAAAAATTAGGAGGAAGTCAAGATACATAAACCTGACAACAAGGTGAGGATGATGGAGCTTGCAAGGGTGATTGAAGCTGATTTGCTTGAGGAAACTCACTTAAAACCCTTAGGTAAGAGGGGTTTGGGGGGAGCTGATGGGAGTTAAAACCATATTTTGTTTTCTCATAGGGGAATGGAGCATTCTGCGATGTTAGAATCTGGAGGCAACTTGGGTGATCAACAAAGGAGGGAATTTTGTCACGAGGAATCAAAGAATATCGGCTCTAGTGTAAGCAATACAAGTACTAGAGAAGGGTGATTTGGAGATGGTAGGGATCATGGGGTGCGCCACTTATCTTATGAAGAATTAATGGAAAGGAAACAAAAAGGGTTGTGTTTTAAATGTGGACAAAATTTTCACCCAATGCATCAATGTCTCAAGTGCCAACTAAAATTAATCATTGTGGATGAGGAACAACTAGAAGGTGGGGAACATGAAGTATTAACTTTAGAGATGGAGGAGCAACCACTAGAAGAGCTCACTTGCTTGCTCCTTAGTAGCCATAATGTAGAAAAGAGGATTGTTTTCAGCCTAAAACCATGAAGATCAAGGGGGAGGTTAAGGGAATTTCTGTGATAATTTTAATTGATAGTGGAGCTTCACATAATTTTATTTCTATGAGGGTAGTGGATTTTTTGGGGTTGGATTATGGGCAGACTACAATGGCAACAATAACATTGGGGGATGGTAACAAAAAAAATGTGCAAGGACGTTGTAAAGGACTATTGGTGAAATTGGATGAGTTGCAAATAATCATTTATTCTTATGTTTCTTATGTAGGGGATGTGGATTTGATTTTAGGTGTGGAGTGGTTGGCTACTTTAGGGAAAGTAACCACTAATTGGAAGAAACAAACTATGGAATTTAACTATGAGGAGGAAGAAGATAAACTTGAAGGGAGAAATCAAGTCTGGGAGTGTACCCGAATCTTTGTTTTGCTTTCTAAATCAGGAGGTGCAAGAGATAAATGGGGTGGTGTGGCCTAGTAATATACAAAAGGCTAAAGGGTGTGGAGGTGAAGGATTAATGAATGATTAGGAGGGAAGGCTGCAACATATTTTGCAAGTTTTTTCAGAAGTGTTTTTAGAGCCTAAGGGCTTACCTCCTAAGAGGACCAAGGAGCATAAGATTGTTGAGGCAAGGGCCTAAACCTGCGAATGTGAGGCCCTATCGATATCCACATTATCAAAAAGAGAAGATAGAAAAGCAAGTGGATGAATTATTGAAGTCTGGAGTCATTAGGCCTAGCACAAGTGCCTATTCAAGCCCAGTGATATTGGTAAGAAAAAAGGACCATACTTGGAGGATGTGTGTTGATTATAGGGCTAAAAAAAAGACTATACCTAACATGTATCCTATACCAGTCATAGAGGAATTGCTTGATGAATTGAATGGAGCTTCTTATTTCTCTAAGTTGGATCTAAAGTTAGGGTATCATTAAATTCGGGTAAGAAAAGAAGATATTCATAAAACTGCTTTTAGAACACATAATGACCATTATGAATACCTTGTGATGTCTTTTGGGTTAATGAATGCACTAGCAACCTTTCAATCCTTGATGAATTATGTGTTGAGGCATTGTTTAAGGAAGTTTGTGTTAATGTTTTTTTGATGATATATTAGTGTACAGTAGAGATTGGGAGTCTCATCTAACATTTGGAGCATGTGTTGTCTTGTTGGAAAGAACATGACTTGGTAGCAAATAAAAAGAATGTCATTTTGGTAGAAAGACAGTAGAATATTTAGGCCATGTAATTTCTAAGGATGAAGTTGCAATGGACCCAAAAAAGGTGAGAGTTTTGGAGTGGCCCATTCCTAAAGGGGTAAAAGGTGTTGGCGGTTTCCTGGGATTAACTGGGTATTACAAAAAGTTCATTAAAGATTATGAAAAAATTGCTAAGCTTTTAATAGATTTAACGAGGAAGGATTTCATTGAGGAGACCAAGCTCAAAGGGCTTTTGAGAAGCTAAGAAGGCTATGACAGAGGCACCAGTTTTGAGGCTACCAGATTTCACATAAGAATTAGTGATAGAATGTGATGTTGCGGGAAGAGGGTTGGGTGTTGTTTTGATCCAACACTATTAGGGAGACATTTTAAGGTTTTTTCTTGTTTGAAGCAATTGTTGGGGTAGAGAATTTCTACCCTTGATCAACGATGTTGGCTCACTAAATTGTTGGGGTATGATTTTGAGGTGATTTATAAGCCTGGCCCTCAAAATAAAGTTGTAGATGCTTTGTTTAGGAGTAAGGAAGAAGTGGAATTACATGTTTTGGTTTCTAAACCAAAATACTTGGACTCAAGTAAGGTGCAAGAAGAAATTCAACATCATTCTTACTTGCAGGGAGTGATTTCAGATTTGCACAAGGACCATACATCCAAGCCTGGATTATCTATAGAGCATGATATTCTTTTCTATTATGGCAGGTTGGTCATTTCAACAAATTCTTCTTGGATTCCAATTCTCTTACATAAGTTCCATAGCACACCTACCGATGGTCATTCCAGCTACTAAAAAGGACATATAGAAGATTGGCTGAAAATGTTTATTGGTGTGGTATGAAGAAAAGAGTTCAAGATTTTGTTAAGGAGTGCTACATTTGCTAACAACAAAAATATGAAGCCCAATGTCCATCTGGGTTGCTGCAACCATTAGATATACCAGAACAAATTTGGGAAGATGTAAATATTGATTTTATTACTGCACTTCCTAAGTCCAAGGGACTTGATACTATACTAGTGGTGGTGGGTCGACTCTCTAAATATGCTCATTTTCTTTCCCTTAGACATCCATTTACAGCTAAAAAAGTGGTTTGTTTGTGAAAGAAGTGGTAAAATTACATGAGATTCCCAAGTCAGTGACAGGGATCCCTTTTTTCTCGGACATTTTTGGACTCAGTTATTCAAATCCCAGGGTACCAAACTAAGGATGAGTTCTTCTTATCATCTTGAAACTAATGGCCAAACTAAAATTAGTAATAAGTGTTTGAAAACTTATCTCAGGTGGTTTTGCTCTGAACAGCCCAAGACTTGGGTCAATTGGTTGCATCGGGCAGAATGGGGGTATAACACCACTTTTCATGTCACAACAGGGGTCAGTCCCTTTCAAGCAATATATGGCAGGAAACCTCCTACACTGGTGCAGTATATTACGAGTGAAACCAAAGTAGAATCTATTGAGAGGGAGCTTATTGATACGGATAAGGCACTTAGGCAGTTATAGTATCATCTATAGCGAGCTCAAGGACATATAAAGAAGTATACAAATAGGAAAAGGAGTCATCATTCCTATGAAGTGGAAGATTGGGTCTTTCTCAAGCTGAGACCACACAGACAACAAAGTTTGGCACAAAGAATTAATCCTAAATTGGTTGCTCGGCTATATGGGCCTTACCAAATTGAGAAGAAGATAGGGGCGGTAGCATACCAATTAAAGCTCCCTTTACATCCCAAAATTCATCCAATTTTTCATATTTCTCAACTCAAGAAAGTTGTTGGCAATTATCAAAAGACTGTGGACTTACCTGCAGGTTTGGAAGCAGAAGTGTCTGACAACATTATGCCTGAGCAGATTTTGGCAGTTCAGCAAAGACAGAAAAATTGGGTTCTTGCTCCATACTAGTTGGTCAAGTGGTGTGGGAAACCTGCTGAGGAGGCAACTTGGGAAGAAGCATTTACTATTACAAATCAGTTTCCTGATGTATGCCTTGAGGACAAGGCAGTTGTTGAAGGAGAGGGCAATGTCAAGCCTCATAAAATAGCTAGCCAGTCCAACTCAACCATGGGCCATGGGTTTGGAAGACATACAATAGGAGGAATAAAAAATAATATTAGAAGGGGTAAAAGGGGAATTTATGCAGTGAGGGACAGGGAGATAGTTACGCTTTTGTGTATTCCCATTTAGGGAGAGAGGAGAAAGGGGAATAGGCAGTTTTTGAGTATTCTGTTGGTAGTGGTTCAGGAGTTGTGCTCTGTAGGTATTGCAGATTTATCTCTGTAATACAGTTCATCTTCAATAATATAGTATCTTTCAATTTTATTCTTTGGTCTTTGACAGCATGTCATCAAGTTGTGTTGTACACTTGTACTAACAACAAACAAATAGAGCATATTTTAATTGTCACTTGAATAAGTTATAAAAGAATACCATTCACTTCATAACAAAAGCAGAGTCCAACATGGATCTCTCTCTAAATGTTTATTTGTGTGCATGCAAGGAATCTTACAAAAATTGCACAAATGAAGGGGGAAATAAATAGAAAGTGTGAAAAAATGAGAAAAGTTTATTAGATATTCTTGCAATGGCATGAAGAGCCATTTTATAATCACCTGTTTGAAAAAGCCGTACACCAGTGCAACTGTCCAAATAGTACTCTGCAGGTGATTCCTAATTCCTCGAGTCAAAAACTCATTCCAGACAAACATGGTCTCATAAAGGACATGGCCAGTTTCACTATCACACAAATTCTTTTGAAGACTGCGCATAATATGGTATGAGTAGCTGAAAAAGAAATCCTTTGTAAGGTCGACCATGCATAGGAGCCTCTTGTATCTAAAAAGTAAATGAGAAAAAAAAATTAATACAAAACCTGAAAATGTTAAGAACAACAAGAGTTGTATTAGACCACAATATTGTGTTTAAATCAAAAGATGGTTGCAAGTAGCAAACATTAAGAATAATCACTAAGTAACTCAATTTTAAGCCACATTTCTATCGGGAGAAAAATCTGATGAACATTATGTTTTCAACAATCTGCAGACTCTTTTTTAACGAATAAAAAAAATCTGTTTACTTTTTAACATTTTTTTTATTTAAGCCAAAGAGAAGGTATGCAACTTTACCCAAGATTACCACAAACTTCCATATTAACTTTAAAGATATAGTAGGCACTTAAAATAATTTAACCATTATACAGAGAGACAGAGAAGAACTGAAAGATAATGCAAATAAGAATAAATCTGAAGCAACATTCAATTTCAAATTATTAAAGGAAACAGCAGACAGATGTCAGCATTCAGAAATAGTAAATATAAATGCAATTATATGATAAGCATTCCTTGGGCTAACATTCAGTTTGTCTTTTGAAGTACAAAAGTAAAATCAATATAACATCCAAGATAGCAAAACCTGTTTTCATTTTTAGAATCGATGATGTTAGAATGGACAGAAGAATTTTGCAGTGGAACCATCTCACACTTTGAGACACCATATACTGTATGACCACAGATTGCACCAATTTTCCTTCTTTTTGTGATAAGCAGCATGTAGTAAGGCCCCAAAAATTTTATGAACCCTGATGCAGAATAACACATCAAGAGACAAACTGGTAATTTGTCGAAAATCAACTAAAAATACACATTGGATCTACATACCAACAATTCCATAACAAGTTGTAAGAAATTTCAGTCCACCTGTGGACCTGTTTCCCTCGTGTATACGCCTCAACAGGTCAGAACATTCCCTTTCTGTGTATGTGGTGGAATCTTCAAGCACATTCAGCTCGGAGGGATCTAGTCGCTCAATCTTTAACACTCTCCAATGAGTCCTGCTCTTGTCCCTTCCTATCATGTAAAATTTCTGTGGCATACACATAAAACAATTGCACAAGGTTAAAAACTTTTAAATGAAGAAACATATGATAAACACAGCAACTTCAACAATGTCCAATCATGTAATCAATTTTCTTAAACAGGATATCCAAAGTCTAATATACACATTAGATTACACAGGCAAGATAGTTCAACTGCCCAATTGTCAAATCCCTCATCTAAAGCGTAACAGAGGCCGAAGGACAATGCACACTTTCAAAGTGAAGGCAAATCCCACTCTGTAAGGTAAAATGAAAATATGAAGCATCCGCAGAGAAGCTCACATGGTAAACCACAAAAATCACATTCAGATTCATTTCTGAAATGTAAATAGCCATAAACAGAGTAAGTAAAGATTAAAGCATAATGAATCCATGGAATGAGTTTATGAAGTTAACCACTTCTATCTACAAACTAATTCTCATACTTCAAAACAGCGAACCAAGAAAAACTTTACACACACATATAGCCATCTACATCATCCAGGAAATCCAAAGCTTTGGATTATAAGTTAGTTTTCTCTTTCTTAAAAAAACTTTTAACATTCCTATTTCAGAACAAAGATGAGCCACCCGAGATGTTGAGTGATACAAAAATCGGAAGATACAAATCTTATTACATTGCTCAAGATCCCTCGACGATACGCATTTCATCACTGTACACGAAGATGAACAAGAAAGAAGCGTATTGACCTTACTTTTAACCTGCAGTTGAGATTATCATAGCCCCTCATCTCAATTATAAGCAAAAGGAAAAATAAAATCACTAACTTATCTTCTTCTACAATAGTAACAAAACGACAACACAGAACGAGCAAGTCAACCAATAAGCAACCAAGAAATAAACACGTCGAGATAAAATTTAGCCAAAGCATTCTTCACACGAAGTGATCAACAGCGAGAAAATCAAAGAGATCTCAGTGGAATCAGAGTACAGAACTTACTACAACTAAAAAAACAAAAAATAACCAAAATTGGAAAGTAGATGAAAAACGCTTAATAAAATACACACCGAAAGAGTCTGATAGAGCCTGAACTTGTGCATACACGCATGTGCAGGAGGAGGAGAGTGAGAAGAAGGTTCATTCTCCGACGACGCCATGGCTTCTCCTTCACCCAGTTATTCAGATCCCCCGAGCCTCAGGCTCAGAGGGAAACCATCAAAATCGCATGCAAAGAGTAGCCACTAAAATCACCCAACGCTTCTCGCACACCACGATCACCACCACCTAACACGAGGCACCACAACACGAATGCACCAAAACGCACAACTCCATGCTGTCAAAAACCCTAGGTTGCTTCAAATACAGCATTCTCCTCCTGCCAAAATCATCGACCTCCCTCCCCCGTTCCACCTCCCCTTCCTCCGCCTTCACCAACCACCACCGCCTCCGCCATCGCCTGCGACCGCCGGAGCTATTCCCCCTCCGATCACCACTCAACCTCGCCGCGAATACTCCCCACGGCGCAGATCGAAAACTCGCGAAATACGAATTGCGTGTTTATATAACAACGAAGCGGACCAACTCGTGGCGAAAAAAGCACGCGCGTGGTTTCAAAATGGGAACACTAAACGCAGCGTATTGAGATGAGATCGAGCTGAGAAATTGAAGAAGAAGAAGAAGAGATTCTGCAGAAGGAAAAGTTTGCGAAGCACGGGAACGAACCGGAAGAACGAACTACCAACAGCTAATAATTGATTCAATTTTTGTTTATTTTATATTTATATTTATATTTATTATTTAAATTTATTTTTTGTGAAATTGTAGTTTATTGACAGCTCAGTGCTCGCAGATCCAAAGGAGAAAGAACAATGAAAGCCACAACTTGGGTGACCGCATCGTCCACACATTAAAAATGTCAACAAAACAATTAAAAATCTGAAATAACCATGTCAAGTTATTTTCAATTTATTATAATATTCGACTGGATTAGATCAGAAAGATAGTTTTGCAATAATTGTAACTATTATATGTGATTTTTCCTATAGCCTTAAATCTGAATTGTTGTTTGTTTCAACCACCGCAACAACGTAAATGTGATTGTGAACTAACGTCTCATTTATTAACTTTCTTGGCCACCCGGATGGAAGAAAAACCCTCTTTATAATAGTTAACTCGCACGAACCAATCTTTTGCATTACATAATATTATAACTAAATTACATTTTTCTCTCTTTATTTTTTTCTATTTATAATTTTAATCTTTTTATTTAAAAAAATATATATATTTCTTTATTTTAAGAATATAAAATTTTAGTTATAACATTAATTTAACATTTTTCAATGACGCTATCACTTAAATAACGTGATATAATAATGTGATGTATAAAGATAAAAATTAAAAAATAATATATAATAAAATATTGATTTATATATTAGTATTTATTTTATTAATAAATTTTATTTATATGATTTTATGTTAAAGTTTAATAATTAATAGATGTCAATTTATTTAAAGGACTAAAATTTCATATTTTTTAAATTAAAAGAATTAAATATTTCTATTTTTAAATAAAAGAACCAAAATTATTGATTGATAAAAATAAGAGGTACCAAAAGTACAATTTAACCAATATTTATAAACAAACATAAAGAAAAATAAAATAAATACAAAAAGTTATATGAAATTATTCTATTAATAAAATATGTTATAAGAAGATGTTTGGTATACAAAAGAAAAGTACTTTTCTAAAAATCTAACGTTGAGAATATTTGATTTTTTATTTTTAAAAAATAACATTCCTTATTTATATTTTAGAAAATATTTTCTATGAAAATATTTTCAAAATGAAGGTCAAAATTGAAAAGAAAAAAATCATTTTTAATAATTTTTAACAAAATGAAAATGTAGTGATATAAACCATTGTTACAACCGAAATCACAATAGGACTAACGCAAGAATTAATTTTTAACGAGGTCGTCACCAATATTTATTTTGAGGGAAAAAATATTGAAAAATCCTTAGAAAATATGGTCATTGAAAACAAAGTTAGATTCAGAAGTCAATTACATGTAAAGAATGTATTAACACCCTTATATCACCTGTTAAAAATAGTACCTTTAACTAATAGCGTAAAATTATATGTGAAATAGGCTTCGTTTGTATTTTTTTTTTAAAAAACTTGAATAAGAATTTAAACTAGTAAGGGACTAGTCATTAAACTCTCAAATTTGATAACATTAAAGATAGAACTTGCTATTCAATAATTATTATCGTTGATTTTTCGTAAAAAGACAACTTTTATTTTATTTTATGCGTAAAAACTTATGATAACAGGAATGACTATTCTACAAACTTTCATGACTCATGATATTAAAAGTAGGAATGTTACTCAACTAATATTGTCAACCATTGCACGAATTAAAACAATTTATAGGAGGAATATACTCTTTTAATATTTTAGTTAAAGAAGCAAAATTTTCATAGAAATTTGAGTTAGTAAATGGTTAATCAATAAACCCTTACAATAACATTAAAGATAGAATTGTTGTTCAGTTAATATTATTGATATTTATTTTTTGATATTATATTAAAATAAAACTTTCATATTTGTACATTTTATTTTATTTTAAAAAAACTTACACAAGAATTTAAGTTAGCAAATAACTAATCATTAAATTCTTACAATAGCAATAAAATAGAATTGTTACTCAATTAATGTTATAGATAACTATAACCATTAATTTTCTATAAAATACAATTTTTATTTTATCCCGTGCGTGAAAGTTTACAATAAGAAATATTATTCTATAAACTTAAACTTTCATGATTTATATGATATTAAAGGGAGAAGTGCTACTCAATTAATATCACTAGTCATTGCACAATTTTTTTAAAACCACTTACGTGAAATATGTTTTTTTTTGTATTTTCAATTAAGGAAAAAAATCTTGTATAAGAATTTAAGTTAGCAAATAGCTAATTATTAAACTCTCATAATAACGTTAAAAATATAAATGTTATTCAATTAACATTATTAATTGTAGTATATTTTCATTTTTTTAATATTTTGAAAGATAAAAAATTTCATATTTTGTGCATTTTTATCTGAAAGAAAATATAATTGTACAAAAATTTAAGCTAACAAATGACTAATTATCAAATTCTCGCAATCAAATAGTGTCAAAGATAAAATTTTTATTCAATTGACACTACTGATTGTTATTTATTGAAATAAAATTCTAAAGAATATTTTTTATAAGAAAACAAACTCTATTTTTCTCTAACATAAAAATTAACGATAGCAAATGACTATTTTATAAATTCTTGTGATATAAGTGATAGTAATAGTAGAATTGCTACTCAATCTATTTTACAAATCAATGCACGAGTTAAGGTAAATATTTAATTTAAAACTTCAAATACCATGATTGATTTTACATAATAGAAATACAAATTAAATATTTAAAAATTATTCTACTTTTGAATAAAAAAAATAAAAAGTAAAATAAAATCAAAAACAAAATCAATAAATAAAATGAAATTTATTTAATAGGTAACTTGTGAGACCCCCCTCCCGTGGTTCTTTCTTTCTCCCCCCCCAAAGTAACCCACGAACAGTCACGTCCAAATCTTTGGTCTGTGGTCCCTGTTAAGAAAAGTGCATTGTATAGGATAGTTCTAATCTCACTAGTCTTAAGGCCCCCAAGGTGCCCCCATTATAGGGACCCAGTATCTCTGTCGCCGTCGTCTGGCAAACTCTAAGGTTTGTCGCAGTATTTCAGGCTAAAGTAATCGGTTATCACCTTGAGTGTGATTTCTGACAAGGCTCGCAGGCTCCAAGGCCAAACTTGGTCCGGTCGTACGTCAACCACTCCCTATATTTAATACCCTCATGCTCCCGGGTGTAGGGGGACTGTTGTGTGCTATGGTTTGGTACAGGTGTTAATTCAAACATGTGCAAAATTTAAACAAACAAACAGATATTAAAGCCAAACAAAGAAAATAAACAAGGTAAAGGGGAAAAATATTTAGATTATTATTCTTATTTTATTAACTTCATCATTTATTTGGGCCTGACCCTCTTATACCATCTCCAGTGGAGTCGCCATCTATCGCAACCCGAAAATTTCTAATCTTACGACCTATGGTTTAGACATCCTTTTAAAAATCTCATCAATTAAGGAATGCCCGGACACGAGACTAATCCTTAATTAATGGTTTTGAAAGAAATAGGTTCTTGGAGTTGCCACCAATGTTTTACTCAAAACATTGGAAAAAGAAAAGGTTTTTTAAAGATCCAATAATGGCCTTGATAAACAGAATTAGGTACGGGGGTCGGTTACGTGTAGGAAAGGTATTAAGCACCCCTACAGCGCCCTTAATAGGTACCCTATAATGAAGTTAATGTGATAAGAATTAATAAATTAAATATTAGATCCCCTTTATTAATATTTATTTACATGCTATAAATTTAAATTACACGATTGATCCTAAAATGTCTACATGATTATTTTTATTATAACAAAGATAAGAAATAAAAAGAAGAGAAGAAGATTGACTGAAATACCTCTTGAACGAGCTCTATTGAATCTTCAAATATGGAGATTTTTAGGTGCTTTGTGGCAACCTTTCACACTACAATATGCCTCACAAAACTCAAGAAATATAATAGGAGGAAGAGAGAGAGAAATTTTGAGCTCTAAGGAGCCTTGGACGAAATTTTGTGGCCCTGAGAACTGTGCCCGAGTCATCTATTTATAGACATCAAAAAGTTGTCAAAACGGGCAGTTCCAAAATCGGAACGGCCCGTTCTAGATCCGACCGTTCTGTGTTAATTTTGTAACTGAAACGACCCGTTCTGTAACTAGAACGGCCTGTTCCAGAGATGAGATTAACTCATAATTGACTAGGCTGGAACGGTCGTTCCAAACAAGGGTTTTTAAGCCTTTCTAATAACTTGGAATGGCCCGTTCCAGTTTAGGAATGGCTCGTTCCGATTTTGGGAACGACCCGTTCCAATTAGATTTTAGCCCTTTTTTGGGAGCTTGGAACTGTCCGTTCCAGTTTAGGAATACTTTGAAATTTAGAGATTGTGGTCCTCTCTTCCTCCCTAATCCCAGCCCCCATCATTAGCAACTCCATAGTTTGCTTATATTCTTCCACACTAGATAACCCTTGTTTTAATCTTTGAAGTTTATCCATAAGTTCTCGGTCATAGTATGGAGGAATATTCCTCCTTCTCAAGGCACTATGGAGCTCATTCTAATAATTGTTTGGAGGCTCATGATTTATTCTCCTTTCTTTTTCTTAGGAGGTCCACCAATACATGGCATGCCCTTGGAAGCTAAGGGTTGCCAAAGAAACCTTTCTTTCTTCACTCACTCCATGGCAAGAAAAAAGTTATTCAACTCCCATTACTCACACAAGATTAACAATTTTTTGTAGTTATTTATTTTATTCCTAAAACATGCAAATAAAGTTATTTGTTTGCACGATCCATATTGGTGATCATATATTTCTTACTGTACTAAAAATTACTATTAAATATATCAACAAATAAATTAACAGATTAGATTATTTATTAATAAGAACAGTAATTTAAAATCTAATGTTTGTTATTAAAAAGTAATATGATGAATTCCAAAAAGTGTTTTTAAGGTTTCTTTTTAATATAGAAAAAGGGCTGGGTAAGAATCAATAATAAAAAAAAAAAAATAAAAAAATAAAAAAAAATAAAAAAAACTTTTACGAGATCAT